TAGGTATACGTGCACGTGCAGACGCCCTGAATCTAAGGAAAAGATAAAAAGAAGCGAAGTGAAGTGATCCAAAACTCAAATAAACTCTCAGGGAAGATGAGTCAAAAAAACATGCGAGAGTGATAAAAATGTGATTTTGGAGAGCAAACACTCATAATCAAATTTCAGTGAGAATTTAACAACAGTTTTGAAAACCTAACAGTTTATAAGCTGAGCTTCCAGAAAAGAAAAGTGCTTTAAGTGAATAAGAGATAATCAAACCTATTCTCCCTTTTGATACCTGAAACAAAAAAGAAAACAAAAAAGAGTTCTGAAAAATTGATTTTCAATAGAAAAGCACAATTTCAACTTGGCTCAAGCCCAAACGAATTTGGAGCGTATTGTAATATGTAGAACGAAAGCAGAAAATTGCAAAAGCAACACATTTGTAGTTTCTGTTAACGCAAAAGAAGGCCGAGCAAGCCGAGTTTGCTAGCTAGTTTCTTCGGCGAATCAAATCGCGATAAAAAATTATAGGTTAAATGAGGATTTAAACCATCTCATGTACTAGATCGCAGCTAGTGCATTTTTTTCTGCAACAAAATTTCATATGTAAATGTGTATGCTAATTCCCTTAGAGGAAATTTATAAGTAAGCTTCAGGTTGCAATAATGTCAGGAGTTGCTGGTGGAGCAAGCAAGAAGAGCAGTAGTAGATCAGTTGCTACGAAAACTCTTATCATTCAAGAATATAAACGACGACTGCGTGACAATATCCGCTCTCTCAATGACAACTTTATTAACATCTTGAACGCCACAAAGGTTGGGTTTGCCCCACCGGCTTGAAATCTCTCTTGATTACTTGACTTCTTATATGCTGAAACGGTGAATCAGCTGTTATGTTCGTATTTAGATCAACACAGACGACGCTGCACATAAGAACAGTTCTGGAAAAATGACTGAATATTACACAATTAAAAACGAAATGGCCGCTCGTGCTGCTCTTATCGTCAGTGCTTCATTTTTCTGTCGAAGATATTTCTTTTCATGTATATAACTTTTGAAAAAAAATGAATTTTTTAGATCAAGTATTTGATTTGCACAGTTTTCTTTTCAGGTAAGAGCTTGTGACGAACTTTTGAAGTTGACCAACGATCTTAAAGAGTTTCTCATATTACACGACTTCAATTTCTTAACGCATGCTATAAAGTCGTAAGTTATTTTCATTTATTTTAATCACGTAATCCTTTGGACGTTTCGCTTTTAATTTTACTCTATAAAAAGATTTTTTGCTGTTCTTAGCAATCCAGATTAGCAGACTTTGAGTTATAACGAACAGAACCACTACTGTATTTATGAATTATGGACCGCACCGATTCTATAGGAGAACGCGTTTTTGTTACGGGCGTCGCTTGAGGTGTCGCACACTAGTATCTGTACATGTTTTAACTATGAGAGTTGTTCCTTCGTAGAAAATCTGCAAATCCAGCAACGTCTGTTCAGCATTTCATGAATTATTTTTGACGAAATTTTAAGCATTTCTTAACGTGACTCAGCTTCTTGTTTCCATCAAAGTTTTGGTGTACATTATCTCCTGTTTTAATAGACTTCTGAGCAGTAAGTACGTCAGTTTATCGTATTTTCAGCGCGGAGGAAGAATGTGATAAAAAGATGAAGGCACAGATACAGAAACATAATGCTTTACGACTAGATGTGTCAAATCTGCTCACGGATATGGATAAGGAAATAATGGAGCATTTTACTTTCCGACATTGAAAGCTTGACTTTTGAGTCTTATTTCTTCGGGTATTTCTGCTGGTATAGTTGTTTCAAATCTCCTTATCTACTTTTTATCATCACAGCATTGCTTTTATGCTGACTTTGCACTTTTTCGTACATCTTTGCTTTCCTTTAATATATGTCAACGTTTATTTACACTGTAATAAATAACCTCGTAATAAGACGTCAGTAACT